TTTTTTTTTGTGGAAGGGTGGTTAAGGCATTCGGCTGCTAACTGCAAGGTCAGCAGTTTGAACCCACCAGTCGCCACGTGGGAGAAGGATGAGGCAGCAGGTTTCCGTAAAGATCGACAGCCTTGGAAACCCTGTGGGGCAGTTCTACTCTGTCCTAGAGTTGCTATGAGTTGGAATCAACTCAACAGTGGTGGGTGGGTTTTTTGTTAGTATCCACTGTATTAGGAACAAAAAGTGAGAATCTTTAGGATAGCCATTCATTCAATAAGTCATTTAAAAATCACAGTAACCCCATGAACTTGACATAAACAGCACTTTAAATGAAAACTAAGTTTTCCCAAAGAAAGAACAACGTTGAGTGGGAGTGAGCCATTCGTGGCTGGACATTTTGGAAAACCTCTCCTTGCCCTCATAGGGACAGTGGGTGCCCACAGCGGCCTCTGTGCGTCACCCGTCCCCACGTGCTGCTTGCTTGACGTCTAGGAAGAGAACGGGGCAAAGGCAGACACGCCCACCCCCAGAAGCCCTGCAGGGCTGCCCAGAGCACACTGCAGGGACCCCTGGCCCAGAGGCTGGGGCTGCCACCCTAGACCGGCCTCACTCAGGACGGGACACACTCAGTGGCTGCAGGGCGCAGTGGCAGCTTCACAAAAAGTCACAGTCTGGTTCTCCCTCCACAGCAAACGAACACAGGTGACTGGTATAAAAACACCGTGCCACATGTCAGTCCTGAGGGAGAACTGCCAAGCGACAGAGTGAGGTGGGCGGAGGGCTCTGGTCTAATCCCCACGCAAGGTGTGAGGCCACAGCAGCCCCCAGACGGTGTGGCCTCTGCTGCCCGGGCCTGCTCACAGCCTCATAGTGCTCCCAGCTGTGAGCCGAGCGGAAAAACACAGGGCACGCCGTGTTTCCAAACCGGGGCAGAACCTCTGTTTGGTGTCACAATGATTGAGTTCTGTGCCCTTCAGCCACAGGGGTTACTAACACTTGTGTTGCTTTGACGGGGACAGCTGCTTGGGACCCTCTTCTCTGAGCTGCAGGTAGCTGTCTGCACTGGACACAGGGCAGTGCTGATGGCCAACACAGACAACACAAGCTCCTCTGTGGGCTTTCTTCCAACAGACGTTCTCCCCGCCGTGACCCACGGCCCCATTCAGACACCTAACTCATGGGCCTCTCAGTGTACAGAGGTCACACCTCACATGTGAGGATGGCTGGCATACTGGGGGCTCATTCAGGAGGTGGTGACCCTACTCCCATGTGGAGCTGGTATGGAGTCCCCATCACCTGTGTCCCTGGATCACCATCCCCCTGGCTCTCCAGCCATTCCAGTTCCGGCTATTCCCTCTGGCTCTACCTGCTGGGCCTGCCCTCATCAGTGCGTACACCAGGCTCACACGGGCTCCAACTGTACCTGCAGTGGGCCTGCCCTCATCATTGTACACACCAGGCTCACACGGGCTCCAACTGTACCTGCAGTGGGCCTGCCCTCATCAGTGTGTACACCGGGCTCACATGGGCTCTGACTGTACCTGTGGGGGCCTGCCCTCATCAGTGTGTACGATGGGCTCACACGGGCTCTGACTGTATCTGTGGGGGCCTGCCCTCATCAGTGTGTACGATGGGCTCACACGGGCCCTGACTGTATCTGTGGGGGCCTGCCGTCATCAGTGTGTACACCGGGCTCACACGGGCTCCGACTGTACCTGCGGTGGGCCTGCCCTCATCGGTGCGCACATGGGCTCAGGCTTCTCTCTGGGCTTCTCTCCAGAAGCCCACTTGCTCCGTAAATGATCTTTGTGGGAATTAAGCAGAAAACCCTATTTGTGTTCAGTCCCTCCGGAAAAATGAAGCTTGAGCCCTACGTCAGGGATGGGTACGTGGGTCGCCTGCTGGGGGCACGAGCCCAATCCCCCGCCTTTTAGACTCTCTGCTTCAGTGTGGAAGGCCAGCAGGTGCCCACCTGACACCCCTGCCCAGGGCGACTTAGAGTTTTCAGTGGAAAGCATTGTTCACAGTGCAGGGAGGGGTTTATCAGAACCACCCAGTGATGGTACCAGCAGTGACTGGTCCCGCCCATGGCTGGCTGTTAGCTTCATGGTGAACATCCCAAGATCATTTATGCGGGTGACTGTGATGGCCTCTGTGGCCACCGATCCTAGAGTGAGCACAGAGTACTGGGGATGCGTCCGAAGGGCACGCTACTCACTTGAGGATGAGGGCCATGGTTTCCTTGCGGTCCTTCCCCTGGAATGGCAGGGAACCCGTCAGCATCTCGAACTGCAGAATAGCACAGGACAGAAACATGAGGACTCTGCCCCGCTGAACGCAGAGGCCCTGGGTGGGCCACCGACGCCTGTCCGTTCACGCGGCACGACAGATGACGGGCAGGCATGGGCCCACCAGCCAGCAGGTGAGAAACACAGGAACTAATGAACCCTGCAGTAGGTCAGAGCTGCCAAGTGCTCCAGAGACACGGACAGGGCAGGTGGAGGGGGACTGGGCCTTTGGGTGAATCGTCTTACACAAAGTCGGGACCCCTTCCTTCCTCGGCTGGGAGGGAGGACAGCATCAGCTCACGTGGCAGGAGCCCCAATCATCTGTAACAACAGGCACCAGC